CTTCCTTGAACGATGATTCCAAGATACATACCTTTCTTTATCTAAGAAACGATAACCTTTCTTTATCTAAGAAACGATAACTCATAGAATATTGCATCTTCCTTTATTCAAGGAAAAAAAACTCCAAAATACCACCTCTTCCTTTATCCAAGGAATGAGGACTCCAAAATATTGCCTCCTTCTTTATTGAATGAATGAGGATTCCAAAATGCCACCTCCTCTTTTATTCAAGAAATAAGGACTCCAAAATGTTGCCTTTTCCTTTATTCAAGGAATGAGGACTCCAAAATGCCACATCTTCCTTTATTCAAGGAATAAGAAATCCACAAGTTAGGGCTCGTCTTCAATAATAAGAATGCCACAAGCTAGGGCTTGCCTTTTAAGATGCGACAAACTCGAGGAATCTAAAAATAGATAGAAACAACCAAAATATGCCAGATCCTAATAAAAAACTAGAGATTAAATATAGTATTACTGTCTTCAAATATGTTGTAAAACTTGAAAAATCATTCTCCACCAAAATTGTGGGTCGCAACCCATTTGTAGATTAAATACGGAAGAATTTGGTCAAACCCTCATTATTCGTTGTCAATAGCTTTATCCTTCATGTCAATAAAAATCTCAAATTGTAAAGTACCAACCATAAGAATCAGTGGCAGATCTAGCTAATGGCGAGCCCACGCGGCCGCCTGTGCTAGATTCGCCGGGAGCTTCAGTGGTTGCCAGGTTGGTGGCATGCGCAGTCGATGTGCGACGAAGGAAATTGAAGCTGCCATTGCCGAATAGGAGCTACAGAGCATGGAAAAGAAAGAAGACAAAACAATTTTTTTTTCTTTGGCAGTTTGTGCTGATCTGCTGGAAATTGGGCCCTTTTTTGAAAAAAACTTTGGGCCCAAATAAGATTTCTCATTTCCAAACCCAAACTCCATAATCCATTTCTCCCCGTTGAAACTGGTAGGTGAGTGCAAAGGCAACAACAAACCCTTACTTGGGAGTTTCGTCGTACAGATTATGAGCGTTTTTTAAAGTACCGGTTCTGAGCATTTATTAAGGCCTACTTGGGAGTTTCGTCGTACAGATTATGAGCGTTTATGAGCGGATCGGTTTTGAGCGGTTTTAGTAGCATTTTTTAAAACTGTCCAATCTAAGATTAGGAGTTTAAAATCCACCGATTCTGAAAATTTTTAAAACGATAAAATTACGTATATGCTCTTAGTAAAGTTTTCTTTTATATTAATTTGTTTCACTCATAAGTGATATTTTACTTACAGATATTTTTTTTACATATAAGTGAAAGTTTAAATAAAAATATTAACTTAAAATTTTAATTTCATATTTTTACTTATAAGTAACTTTTACAATTATATAAGTTAATTTTTTCTTTTAACTAATTTTATGTAAATTTTTTTAATTTATAAGTAATTTTTTATACTTTATAAATATTTTTTGTCTTATTGGTAATATTTTTATTTTTTAGTAATTTTTTTATATAAAAATGATTTTTTTAACTTATAATTAATTTTTAATTATAATATAATTTTTCTTATCTTACAAGTAATATTTTACTTATAAGTATTTTTTTAATTATACTATAATTTTTTAAAATTATAAATATTTTTAGTTAATATATTTTAATTTACAATTTAATTTTGAACAGAATATATTGATTGAAAATAATTATTTATAAAAGGTAAAATTAGAATAAATCCAGAAACTGCCAAAATCAACCGATTTGGCGGGTCGGGAGTACCCCTCAAATTTACATGAGGAATTAGTGGCTGTTGGCCAGTTGACCCGGCCAATTTTTCAAACTGGCCTTTGACCAATGAAAAAAAAGGCAAAATTATAAAAAACAGTGAAAACCAAAAAAAATGAAGAGAATCCCAATTTTACCCTCCCTTGAAAACGAAGCAAGGCCGAAAGAGACGGGAAAATACTGTAGCATAGTCGACCCAGTCACCGACAAATAAGGAAAAACAGGAGACCCACTTTCCTCTGAAGAAGGTAAGAAATTTATACAAAAAAAAACCATGTTTATATTTTTATTTTTGGAAAAAAGTATGATTTTATACATATTTCTTGAGAAATCATTGTGTAAATGTGGAATTTTGGGTTGTTATCACTTGGGAATGAGTGGAGATCGCCAGAAATGGAGTTTTCCGGCGATCTCCACGACCGGAACTCGTCTGGCCAGAAATGGCGACTGGGCATGCCGTCTGGGCACGCCCAGCCGCCCCCGACGCCCAGACGGCCCAGTTAACTGGGCCGTCTGGGCGCCTCCCCAGTCAACTGGGCAACCCAGTTGACTGGGCCTTTTTTTTTCGGTAATTATTGAAGTTAATTAAATAATTAGTAATGGCTTATTGTGTTATCTAATATGTTATTATTTATTTGAATTGGTTAATTTGAAAGTTTATTATGTATTTAAAATTATTATTAAATATAAGATGTAAATGTTATATTATTTATCGAAATATTTATTAGTTGCTAATTTAAATTAATTAATTATTTTATATTAAGTAATAGTAAAAAAATTAAAAGAAATAATAAAAAATATATCTAAAGAATTGAAAAAAATATTTAAACATTTGTAAAATAATAAAAATAAGCAATTAAATTTGAAAATTAAATTAGCAAAAAAATTAATTTTTTTAAAAGCAATTAAAATAAATTTGTAAATATGAAATAAGTATTATGCGTAAAGAATTAAAATTAGTATTTAAACATTTATTAAAATTAAAAAACTAAATTAAGTGTTAGAAAAATAATTAAAATATTAAAATAAGCATTTAAAAACAAGTGTTACTAAATTAATTTTAAAAAATGAAATATTAAATAAGATATATATAAAGAATTTAAATACATAATTAAACATTTGTAAATAATTAAAATAAGTTTTAAAACTTCATTAAAAATAAATAACTAAATTAACTGTTCGAAAAAAAATTAAAATAAGCAATTAAAATATCAAAATAAGTGTTAGTAAAATAATTAAAAGAAATGATTAAATATTAAATAACATATATATATATATATACATATTTAAACATTTGTAAAAAAAAAAAAAGGGAATACACAATTAGATTTGAAAATTAAAATATCGATCAAATTATTTTTTTGCAATGCAACTAAAATAAATTTGTAAATATGAAATAAGCATTATGCGTAAATAATTAAAATAAGTTTTTAAACATTCATTAAAAATGAAAAGTAAATGAAGTGTTAGAAAAATAATTAAAATAAGCAATGAAAATATCAAAATAAGTGTTAGTAAAATTATATATATATATATATAATTTAAATACATATTTAAACATTTGTAAAACAATAAAAATACGCAATTAAATTTGAAAATTAAAATATCAATCAAATTATTTTTTTGCAAAGCAATTAAAATAAATTTGTAAATATGAAATAAGCATTATGCGTAAATAATTAAAATAAATTTTTAAACATTCATTAAAAATGAAAAGTAAATGAAGTGTTAGAAAAATAATTAAAACAAGTAATGAAAATATCAAAATAAGTGTTAGTAAAATTATTAAAAGAAATATTTAAATATATATATATAATTTAAATACATATTTAAACATTTGTAAAATATCCTCGGATGCATCACTGGCGAGCACAAGACAAGCCGCTTGCCAGACAGTTATCGGCTCTCCTCGACGATCCTGAGGTACGTATTATACAATTGCTATTTATGTCGTACGTCCTTTTATAATCTGAATACATATTCATTAACTGTGACATATGAAAATGACAGCTTGAAGTTCTCACTGAGTTGGCACCGTCGATCGAGGAGGAGAGTCAGTTTTATATTCGCGAATTGCCTCTTCGTACTGCGCATGACGATCAGATGCCTGAGTCCAGGATGGATCGACATAGGGTATGTCACTGTGCAGGATTTATTGAATATCGCTTCGATCTTGTAATTAAGTGCCTCACTTGTAATATTTATTTTTTCAGGAGGATCGCTCAGTATTACCTCCGTTGAGGATATCACCTCCACCGATGAGAGCACGTCTAGCGAGGATGTCACCTCCGCTGAGAAGATCACGTCCAGCTACGCCAGAGGTTCAGATGCCTGAGTCCAGCGTTGATCAAGATAGAGTATGTTACTTAAAAATAATTCTTCGATTGTCGTTTTATTTTATTTGTTAAGTTATTCATTTGTAATAGTTATTTTTTCAGGAGGGCCGTCCAGTATCGCCTCCTGCACCTAGTCCCCGTGCTTCGACGATTGATTTGTTCGACCTCCTGATGGAGATGAGAGGAGACATGGCAGAGTTACGGGGTAATGTCGTGACACTACGAGCTGAGCTCGGGGACATGGCACAGTTACGATATGATGTCGCGATGTTACGAGCTGGGTTAGGAGACCTCCATGCTGAGGTTGCAGCGATACGGGGTGACATAGCAGGCCTGCGGGGGACGAGCGATTATCGAGATGGAGGAGGTAGCGGAGGGACAGGTCACTATCGGGACGGAGGGGGTGACGGAGAGACTGGTGGCTATCGAGACGGAGGGACTGGCGGTTATCGGGACGGAGGGGGTGACGGAGAGGTCGGTGGTTATCAGGGGGGAGTGGGTCAGATGGGGTATTTTGACTCATCGTGGCCATCAGTTGCTGCATTTGATTCATTTTTAGATGACACGATGGGGATGGAGGAGCGAAAGAGGATACTTGTGGTGGAGGGAATGCCCGCGCAGGATATACCTGAGGACGTGGAGGGGGTACCCGAGGAGGAGAGGGTACCGGAGATGGAGGTGGAGGTGGAGGTGGAGGTGGTATCGGAGGTGGGGGTGGAGGTGGTACCCGTGCAGGGGATACCCGGGGATCCCGAGGGGGTACCGGAGGAGGATAGGGTATTGAAGCTGGAGGTGGTACCCGTGCACGGGATACCCGAGGATGTCGAGGGGGCACCGGAGGAGAAGAGGGTACCGGAGGTGGAGGTGGTACCCGAGAAGACGCCAGACTCGCCGATCGTGGACTTTGTGTCGGAGGAGGTGGTCCCGACAGCGGGCGAGGGGGTCGTCCCGATGGCTGGGGAGATGGAGATTCCCGAGGCACATGAGGAGCGGGGGGTCGGCAAGAGGCCAAGGGTGCCATCACAGTACGTTCTTTCTCCGTTTACCGCGGAGGCGAAGAGGAGAAGGTTCGTCGACGGGACGCACCCGAATTTATTCAGGGAGGTGGACCACGCCAAGTGGAAAGCCTTTGACACAGAGTGGAGAGCACTGCAGCCTGGGTCAGTTTTGTATTTTATGTAATTACTATAGTACGCAGACGTTGACACATGTATACTTCATATAACTAAAAATTCTGTTCTTATTTTTTCAGGGCCAGCCGCACGATTGCTGAGAAGACGATCTCAAATGCTTACAAGTGGTTCCACGACATCACCACTTCGGGGGCTTGGCTCGCCGACGATGTAAGTGAAATGAAAATATTGTTATTTATTATGTACGTTCGAAATCAATTTTTTGAATGAAATTCATAGATTAACTCCTTTCTTTATTGGTGTTTCTTGATGTAGCACATCGACTTGAGTATGGATTTGCTACGAGATCGTGCTGAAAGACATCCAAAATCGTTCAACATTCCTGGCAGACTCATATTGAACACCGAGTTCATCCGTGCCGTTGACATTGAGTACCAGTCGTTCCAGGCTATGGGTAGCGAGTACACGGTGCCGGAATATATGATGGAATGGGTCGTAGGGATGTGGCCGAGTGTCGGTGGGAAGCCATGGGATGGCTGTACGCATATGTACGTACCAGTATGTCTGAATCATCACTACATTGCAGTGGAAATCGTATTCGCCGACTCCACGATGTATGTGTACGACCCCGATCATTCTTGCCTGACACAAGGCCAGCTCGAGCAAAATCTAGAGTCGCTGTCTGTGATCGTTCCCATGATGGCTAGATGAGCGAACATCACTGTAGAAGACAGATTGGCCACCTTGCGGAACACGACGACGACGAGGCAACAAATATCGTAAGTGTTTGTAATTTTCTTTCTGTCATTTACATCTTAGTTTCTAACTAATTTTCGATGTGCTAATACAATATTGTTTAATTGTAGGGGTGATTGCGGCATATTCGTCATCAAGTACATAGAATTTTTGAGTGTGGCACATAAGGTTGATGCAATCAACCAGGCATGGATACAAAATTGGAGAAATAAACTAGCATGTGATTTATTTGAATTTAATGGGGATTCATAAATAATTGTACATATTTTTACATTTATTTAAACATTGTACAATTCATTCATTTATTTGTAATTACGAAAAATTGTAAAATGTTGATTGCATATGTAATATTTAAATATTTATTTTACAATGTAACCTACCGTATAATGCAGTTTCTAGAAAACGTTTCGATTTCAAATAATTAACATAAATAATATGAATAACAAATGAATGTAATGAATGAAATGTTTGAAAAAAATACTAAATCTAATAATTCGCATAAATAATATACATAAATAATTAACGTCAATGTTATAAATAATTACATTGCCAATAGTTATTAAAATTACACATCCGTTACATTGTCATCTAGAGGAATCTGACTTGTACAATATCTTCTAGTATGC